AGAGGCTTTCTTGTGAGAACACAGGAACCTAGCAGCAGGAGCTGAGACCTGGAGTGTCAGCCAGGGCTGGGCTGGCTAGCTCTTTGCCAATTCCTTCAAATCAAGCCACCAGCAATCAGTTCTTGAAAACAAAGGAAAGAAACAAACCACAGGGATTACAGGATTGAAAACACTGGATTAGACAACAGTTACAAAGTATTGAAGAAACTATGCAGTGAGACCCTAGAAGGATACAAAAAAAGCCCTTGAAAACATCTACAGGATAGGATGGATCTGGAAGAAACACGGAAAGGGAAAGACCAACTCATTGACAGCAGATGGAATACAAAGGTGGAAAAGATGGAGTTCAGAGATGTGGAAGACAAATCACAAAGTAAGTGGGTAGAGGAGAAATTGTAATACCAGAAAAAGGATATTAGAGAGACTTGGAGAGAACAGAAGAGTGAGAGAAGATTTAACACTGCCTGAGATGTACATCAGAACATACAACCATGTTATTAATCAGTTTCTTCCCTGACAGTTGAAAAGTAATGGAGCCTATGCAAGCAATTAGCTTTAGGTAGATCACAGGACAACTGTAATATTCCTTTATACAATCACTCTGTCACAGGTGATTATATGTTATTTATGTGAAACATTTATGGGAGATACGCCATCAACATAATCATGTTATATCAGCAGGAAAAGAAAAAGCAACTCCAGTGGCCTCCCTTCCCTTCTCTGTGCTAAGCAGTTCTGTTGCTGTAAGGAAGTTTTCTAAGCAATGTCCATTGCAATTTAAAAATTGAATTTATTTTTATCTCAAGTTTACAGTTGGTATTTAGTTCTTTTTAAACTTATTTGCACCCCCCCCCAAAATACTGTCATTTATCCATGTTTCTTTGTCAGGACCTGTTCTAATTTTGCTGCTCTAAAAGTCAGATTAATCAATAGAGTTAATTCTTTTCATCTATTCTCAACATGAAGCTTTCAACTCTAACAGCCCCTTTTGTATGGCTGGAGTGGCTGATCACTGCTAAAAAAGCCCAGTTTAAACTGAGTTACATCATTCTGTTGATGAGCAGCACTCATACACACTACCCTACTGAATTTAGCGTGGTTACTCATTTAACTATGCAATATGAGTTAACATTGTAAGAAATGGAAAATGTTACATTTTTCTACTTGTTAAAAAAAAATAAATACCAATAAAGACTACAGGACACTACAGAGAGATAAATTAAGTACCTGTTTGACTCTACTCAGATACTGTGCAAAGTTAAATAGTATTTTCACTTGCATTCAAGTGCATAATTCCCCTCTGATCCCTTGTTTTAAAACACTACAATGAAGAGTTAACAGACAAGCTTTCAATTTTTTAAAGGTCTCTCACATGTAACAGTGAACTACGAACCATAAACAGGCACAGTCAGGTGCCAGCCCCACTGGAATTTTGTCAGCCATTCTGTTGGCAAGCCTAAGTCTCATTTTCCCCTCCCATTAATGTTATCTGGGCACACACTGCTACTAAGGGGAATGACTGAGACACAGCCACAAGAGTGGAGGTTCTTAGACCCGGGCAGCACAACTCACAGGAGTTTGATGAAAATATCCCTGCACGATAGCCCCCAGGAATGATTTTACTGGTTATTCTCAAAGCTTGCCAAGATGAGCATGTGGCAAAGCCAGGCATGAGAACCGGGGCATACAAGCAATCACAAGGGTGAGTCTAGTATTAAATGTGGAGGTTGGTGGCCCTGCCTGTGGTGGAGAGTTGGAGCTTCATGATCCTTGAGGTCCCTTCCAACCTGGGCCATTCTGTGATTCTCTGACGAGGTCCCAACTCCCTGGTTGTCCTAAAGTCTTCTGTCACAAACCAAATGCAGGTTTTTACCTGGACATGGTTTAAGCACACACGTCCTTCTCTTGCTCATAAGCATGCGACAGATGACAACTCGTAAACAAGAACGTACGGAAATCTTCTCTGTTCTGCTACAGCAGCTCCTGCACTCCCCCTGCCCACACCTGACATGGTGTGGTCCACAGAGATTCCCCTTCCCAGCGGAAAATCTGCTGAAAATCGAGTTGTATTGTAAGCAGGTCCGGATAAAAGCAATCATCGTCTTCTTCTATGTGCTTGTCCATAACTAAACCATAAATAAACAATGCTAAAGCAGTAATGAAGTACTTCAGGAATTCACAGCGCATGAAAACCTTCAGCCCTCAACATTTTAAAACCAACTACAGGACCCACTGTAACCGGACTGCAGTCAGTGCCACGTGCCTGCAATGCATTCTCTTAGCAATAGTTCTGAGCCCAAATCGAAGTCGGACTGTCGCCTGGTGCCTGCGTCGCTGTGCGCGCTACAGCGGCTCTCCTCACAGCGCCTCACACATCACAAGGCATTACAGCTACACATTAACTCCTTTCATGGCGTTTCTTTTCCGTTTCACTTTTCCCACGCAACTCTCCCCACCTCACACCCCTCACAACGCCACAGCAGCGCTGGGACGGGACGCACCGCCCTCCCGCTCCCGCCCCCGCCGCAGGAGGCGCACGGCGGCACGCGCAGCTCCCCGGCCGGCCCCCGCGGAACTCCATTTCCCGTCATGCCGTGAGAGCAGCGCGAGCCGCGGGCGCGTCACGGGCGCGGGCAGCCAATCGCCGCGCGGCCGAGGCGGGCGCCGTCAGCCGCCAATGTTGTTTTCGCTGAGTCGAGCCGCCGGTGTTGTTGGCGGCGGCGCCATATTGGAAGGGACGAGCCCGCGTTAGCGAGAAGCCCCTTGGCGCTGGCCCGGCCGCCGCCATGCTGTATCTGGAGGACTATCTGGAGAGTGAGTGTGTGCGGGACGGGGACGCCGGGCGGCCGGGCACGGCCGGCGGAGGGGAGCCGGGGAGAGGGCGCGGCGACGTGGCGGCGCCCCCTCCCCCACGGCGGTGAGCGACTGACACCCCCCCCCTCTCTCCCCCGCCCCTCCCTCCGTGTGCCCGCAGTGATCGAGCAGCTTCCCATGGATCTGCGCGACAGGTTCACCGAGATGCGCGAGATGGACCTGCAGGTGCAGAGTACGTGAGTCCCGCCCCCTCCTCTGCCCGCCCCCTCCCCTCCGCCTCCCGCCGCTGCCCTCCGCCTCCCGTTCCTCGCCCGCCCCGCCAGCAGGGGGCGCTCGCTCCCCGCCTCTCCCGGCGCCCCGCCGCGGGGCAGGAAGTCGGCCGACAGTCGGCGGTGCGGGGAATGGGGAGCGAAGCGCCACCGCTGAAGGCGCTCCGATTTCTGCGGGTCCCTCCGCTCCCCGCGGCTCTTCGTCGCCCGACCCGGGCCGCTCGCACCCCGCCGCCACCCCGCGCTCCGGCAGCTCCGCTCCGCTCCACCGCGGGGAACAGCGTCCCGTCGCCCCGTCCCGGCCGCCGGCCGCCCGGCGTCTTCTCCGGCTTGGCGGCGGCGGGAGGCGGCGCTGCGGAGGCCCGGCCCGCGGCGGGGAGCTGCCGGCACGCAGCGAGGGGCGGGGCACGCTCGCCCCGTGTGCTGACTGAGCGGCGCCCCGGCCCCCATCCGCGCGGCGCTGGTCGGCTGCTGCGCTTGTGGTGCTCCCTGGGGCCTTATCGGTGGCATGTCCCAAACTCTCTAGGTTTTTGGTCCCTAAGAGCAGTGATGGTGGTTTGGATCAGGAGCTGCACCCCACTCTTTCAGCAGATCGTGCTGGTTCTGAGACCTTCCAGCCAGCTCCACTCACCACAGTGTACAAGAATGAGATTTTTGCCTGTGCTTTTATGCTTTAGCTGACACTTAACCACATACACGTTTCCTTCATTTTGTATGAGCTTAGCACCTGCAGCTGTTTCCAGGATGCGTTCCCCTTTGATCCTCTCCAGCAATCCCCTCTGGGACTCATGTCCCATAGCACCCAGTGAGGTGTTGCTGTGTTAACACGCAATAAATGTGTTCATCTGCAAGTGAGAGGCAAAGGTCTTTGTTAATGTAACTTAGACAAGAGATGAGAGGATTCCTCAGTGCCGGAGGAGTTAGAGTATGTCAAAGAAAGATGAGAGAGAGCAAATGTCGAAATAACAATGAGCGTTATACAGTAATATAAAAGTCTACACCATACTTTTAGTATCTTACAGTGTAGGAGCACAGCTCTGGGACGTATCAGCCTGGAGAAGAGAAGACAGGAAGAGGATGGCATCACTGTTGATAAATATCTGAAATGCAGGAGTCAAATGGATGGGGTGGCCTCTTTTCAGTGGTGCCCAGCAACAGGACAAGGGGCAACAGGTGCAGACAGGAACACAGGAAGTTCCATACAAACATGAGGAAAATTTCCTTGCTGTGAGGGTGACAGCATTGGAACAGGCAGCCCAGAGGTTGTGGTGTCTCCTCTGAAGATACTCAAGACTCACCAGGATGCTTTCCTTTGTAACCTATTCTAGAGGACCTGCTTTAGCAAGGGATTGGACTGGATAATCCTCAGGGCTTCCTTCCAAGCCCTGTGATTCTGTGATTCTTTAAACCTGCACTAGTTTGAAGTGAGACCTCAGGCTTTCTCTTAGATATTTATTAGTGCCAGCCAGTACTGCCAAGGTTGCAGTGGTGTCATTTCCCTTGCTTTAACTGGAAGTTGTGAAAAACACTGAATATTTGTATGCAAACACCAACCTTATGGCCAGAGTAAGATTTTTGGTTCTTTGAGGATTCTTTCAATGAGTGACAAGGCATCTTAATGCATTATGAAACTTCTGGACTCACATCAGCTGTCAGCTTGCAGTTTGATAGCTCATGCTGAATACTTCATGTGAACCCATGGACTGTTGTGATGCTGTGACCCAGGAGTTGATGTGAGGGATCAGTGTCTCTGACCTGTATCAGAAGAGTGTTTTGGCAGGTGCTGCTGGCCCAGAAACCTGTACAAGACTTCATTTAGATTTAACACAATTGTTATGTTCGAGAGTTAATGATGTTTGGATGATTCAGACTTCGAATGGGGCAGGTTTCATCATCATCATCATCATCATCCTCATCAGAAGATAAATCAGCAGATAGGTGTATGCTGTGTGCCTTGGTAAGGCTCCTGTGGGAAAAGTGAGGAACATCAGAGTTGAAAGTCAGTCATGAGCTCTGAGATGTTTGCATGTGGAGTACGGAATGTTTTCCCTCTACATAGGTTCAAATCATGGATTACCAGCCACGCTCTAGAAAAAAAGCCTGTTTTCTAATAGAATTTCTGTCAGCTCTCTTTGAGAATCTGTTCTAGGAAATTAGCATGTCTGAATGAAGTAGCACAGATGGAAGAGAGGTGAGAGGGGAGAGAAGCTGAAGAGACTGGAGTATATTATGGAGGACCTTCCATATAATGTAGTAGAGCTGCCCTGCATTCCTGTTTGCCAGTTCTTCTCTTTCAGGAGAGACCAAGTTTCTGTGGAAGTTTTCACTTAAGCAGTTTCACGCAGACTGATACCTGTTCTCAATTAAAAAAAAAAAAGACTTTTATAATTATTTTTATTCCTCAGTCTATGGAGCTGTATAATAGTAATAATCTCTCAGTTGTTTTCAGGCTGGCAATAGGAGTTAGAACCTTTTGTCCTTTAGCTTTATGGACCAAATTATAGTCATTTGATGGAAGAACAAACCTTTTGGAAGCCTCACTTGTTGCTCAGTCGTTATTCTCCCAAAGCATAACACAGTGCAAATGGAAAATGTTCATTTGACTGCTTTGTCTGTCTGGATCTGAGTCATTTTGAGCATTGGCAACGACTATTTTGGTTTGGGATAAATTCTTATCATTCCTGTCTAAAGTTGTTAGTTTCCTGTTGGTTTTGATTCTGGAGATTACCTGCATAAGTAGCATCAAAAATTCTTTGCTCACTTACTATGCTTGATTTCTCATCATTTGTTCATGCAACTAGTTCTGATTGTTCTTGCGGATTTGCAAAATGAAAAGACTTCAGGCTCTGTTGGATTTAAGGACTTAACTATACTTGCAGATTCATTGGTTTCTTTACCTCACCCCCAGCCAATCATATGGCACAGTTTCAGTGCTGGCTTCTGAAAGGTGTCTTTACTGTTTTACGCTGAGAGCCCGAAGTCTGTAGGTAGGTGCTGCATTGTCATGTTTAACTCGAAACTTGTCTGGGTTGCATTGCTGAAAGTTCTGTTTAAAACATAATATTAAATGCAGTACTGTCCCTTATCTTGAGACTAGCCAAGCTGTCAGGGTTAGTTTGACTGAAGCAGCTGTTTGGTTTGGATGTATGCAAGTTGTTGCATGCACGAATGTCCAGCTGTTGAAATATTAAACTTGATGCTTTTTATAAAGGATGGTGGAAGGGAAGGAAAGTAAATCCCTCTTCCTGCTTCAATAAATAACCAGACAAGTAACGTTTGGTTGACATTTTCTTTTCTTATAACATGTTGAGTAATTGTTTTACTTCTTCCCGTTGAGATATTTCTCAGCTGCGTGTAAGAAAGAATCCTGTCCGTGGTTTCCCATCAGTGCATTTACCTCTTTGTTCTACAACGTGGGAGTTAGGGGGTGGGAATAAACTTGTGAGTGTTTTCAATTGCTCTTGTTCTTCCTAGCATACTGCGGAAGGGCCTTGAGTTAAGAGTTGATTCTTCTTTTGAGGCACTTATTTTTCCAATTATTTGGTTTTGTATTTGACTGTTTCTCTTAGAGAACATTTTGTTACCTGCTCAGTTTGTAACTGGCTAGAATGTTCCAAAGTCAGTGGTCTAGAGCCCTGGGTGAGGAGTTTGGGTCATGCTTTAAGTCACCACCACTGCTCTTAAGGGCAAAAAATCTTTAGAACTTGGAATGCTGCCTTTCCCATGTGGAGAGCACAAGAACCTTGATGAGAATCCTACCAGAATGCAATTCTGCTTCTTGGAAATTAAGGTAAATATTTCCCTCTGCTGTCACTTGTTTCATTCTTTTTATTTACTTATTTGTTTTTGCTATAATAATTTACACTTCAGTCCTGTCAACTTCGTTTCAAGAAAAAATTCCACCTTGTTTTGTAATGTTTACGTATGTGAGAAGATAATATTTATCTTAATATTTCCCCATGCAGATGCAATGGATCAGCTCGAGCAGAGGGTCAATGAATTTTTTATGAACGCAAAGAAAAACAAACCTGAATGGAGAGAAGAACAGATGACATCAATCAAAAAAGTAAGGATATCACAGGAGTGGGCTGCATTTGTTCTTTTAAAAGAAGATAACCTTAGGAAAAAAATAGTTTATAATTGAGTGAAGTCTTAAGTGTTCAGAACTGTGACTTCCTCTGGGCTTTCACAGAGATGCATAGAACTACCTTAGAGGAGAAAAATGACTGGAAAGTTTCTTTGATAAAGCATTTCTTTTAAGTTTTGCTGAGTATTTGCTGCTATTATTACATTTTTTTAAAAAGAGAATATTGGAGTGATGAAACCAGGTACTAGCATTTCAGCTTGGATATTTTCTTCTTGCTTATATGACTTGAAGCTTTGTAAGTTAATTGGCATTCTTTTAAAGGATATTTTTCCAGCTTAACTTCAGCATCCCCTCTGATTCTGCGCCTGTCTTTGTATATAGTATGTATATGGTGCATGTTCCATTAGAGAGAGAAGACTAAGAAGACAGCTGTGTTTTCTGTTTTGTTTTATCATTTGACACTTGGCGTTGTTGGTATTGTTAGCAGGGTAGTCCATCATTTTGTCAGGACAAAAATCCTTTCTAGTCCTCATACACTTGTAACTTCAGCCCCTTAGGCAACCAAGGTTTATTCTTTCCTTAATTAAAACAAATAAATTACCTTTAAAAAAAAAAAACACCAAAATAAACAAAACACAATGAAAGTCAAAACTCTAACTTCACTGGAGTAAATTAAAAAAAAATAATAATAAAAAAAAGACTTTAATGGAATTAAGATCTGAGTTTTTACTTGAGCTAGGTATTCTTCAGTGGAAATTGAAATAAAAAGGCACTTAAACCTGTTTGAACCTAGAGATAAATATGCCTACACTAACTTTAAAAGGGGACCTACTTATGGTTTTTCATTATTTAGAGCAGATTTTAAAATTGCATCTTGTGTAAATTCATTTTATAATAGTGTATTTTAAAAATACTTCAATAAATTAATTTAAATTATATACTTCTTTTTCTATATGTTTAACTACAGTGCTGAAAAGACCTCCAGTCACAGTAGCATCATTTGAAGGACAGTAGTTTCTTCAGTGGTCTTAAAGATCCACATCAAGTAAAAGACATCATTTCATGTTGAGTCTATAATGCTGCATAGTATAAAACACACTGAAGGGTATTTCTTTTCTTGCAGTGAACCACACTGTGACGTGTAAGTGTCACTATAAGAGGAAGTGTCCATGTCTTGTAGTTTTGCTTTTTCTAAGCAATAAATAGCTGGTATAGCTCTCGTCTAATATTTAGCTTACTGCTGTTTACAACAGTTTCACAGTCTTTCTGAAAACTGATTTCAGTTTCTACTTTTAATGTACACTGTGTGCTAGGTTAAAATAGCTTAAAACAGCTGAAATTAATTCAGTTACATTTGTGACTTAAAAGCTTATTCTTTTTATACCAGGATTATTACAAGGCTTTGGAAGATGCAGATGAGAAAGTACAGCTGGCTAATCAAATATATGATTTGGTAAGTAGATGAAAGGCTTGTTGTGCATTATCTGAGTTTATGTCTTCAGGAGTTCAGAACATTTTGATAAGTGCTATAGTTGTGTTAATTGTACTCTTACATCAGCTTCAAACATTATTTTTTTTCTTTTAGAAAGACACTTAATGTTTTACTGACTCCTAGGAATTTGGTTGCTTGTACACTGTTGTAAAATATCAAGAAATAATTTGAGAAATTGTAAGCTTTTAATGTATTCTCTTTCTGGTTGTATTTGGTTTTGAAAAGGGACCACAGGCAAGCTATTCCACCTTGTAACACATGCGTTTTGGGTTTTAAGTATATTTACTTTACACTTTCTCAGAGAACGAAAGTTGCAACTTATTGCTCTAAAATACAGTAGACATAAAACAAATATTTCTTGTTTGGTTGATTCTCCTTCCATCTACTAGTGAATGTTGGAACATTCCCTCTCTCAGTGCAAAAGTTGTTCGTTTTGCAGTAAAGATAAGTACATGATTCAACTGCATGACTGCAGATGAAGAAAGCATTTTGAATGTGGTGGTTCTTTAGTTTTTTTTTTTCTTTTGTGAGTTTTTGGCACACCAGAGTATGTCATACTTTACTCAAAAGCACATCAGTCTTTACATGTTCAGTACAGACACTATTCTTTCTGTGCACGTTGGAAGATGTACAGGTATTGAACAAGAAACCTGTAATTTCTTCTTACAGCATAACCACTTTTTTTAAAGGGCATTTCATGTACTGTTCTTTGTCTTCTAGTTTCTATACCCATACTCACAACAACCCTAAATGCTGTTAGCCCCTTTTCTCATAGAAAACACATAACATTTTGTTTTGGAACACCACCTGTAATGAGAGGAAGGCTTCTAGCTGCTGAGCCAACATGCAGTTTTGGTGAATCCTGTGATTCACTGGGCAGCTGAGGAGCAGCAGCCCATTTTAGTGCTAGTTCTAGTATTTCTGCTGAGTGGGAAGTGTAGGAGGCCAAGAAGTTAGGACTCTGTGTTCTTATACATGCTTAGTACTGAAAACTGGAAGAGCAATTCTTGGCAGACCAGATAAAAAGGTGTAGCTCGTGGTTGTGCAACTGTTTGGCTTGTCTGGGCTGCATTCAGCAAACAGGAATTGCCACAGGCCACATATAAAATACATAATAAATGTAATGCTTATAAGTAGCAGAACTTTTTTTAACATGTTTTTATTAAAACCTAAAAAACAGGGAGCAACAAAAACATAAAACTGATGTGATGTTTGACCTCGTTTTTGTGAAACTTATGCTTCATGCTGGTTCTGTGGCAGTGGTTGCCACTCCTCGTGAGTTCTCAGGGTATTCATCTGAGATTTTTGATGAAATATTTCTTTTCCGGTGCTTCATCCTTGACAATAATTGTTCACAAATGTATATATTGTCAAAAACTGATGACATGAATAAATGTGACCGTGAAGGGAAGGGTATTTTTCTCTGGAAAGAGGGCTTATGAAAGTCTGGCAAAGAGACATGACAGAATTTTTCTTTGAGTCGAATCCTGGTTGCAACTCTATACATTCTGTGTGAAGTTTGCAAATAATGGATTTCTGTTGACGGAAAATGGAGTTACAAATATATTAAAAAAAAGATCTTTTTTCTTTTTTTTTAAATATTGAAACCTATTCTCAAATTTCTTTATCAAAATGAAAAGCACAGCTGCATATTTTTCACTCTTTACGGTACTGCGTTTAGCCAATGTATCAGAATGCATACAACTATTTTCCATTACTTCAGCTTGCCATAATTTAACTTTCATTTCAAATGCTGTTAATGTCTGAAGCACAGAAAAGTGATTTTTCACTTTGAAGAAGCACGTTTAATTCTTTAAATGAACAATCAAATCCTCCAAAAATACTCAGTCTGTGAGCCGTCTTTAATCTTCGTGTTCTGGCACCAGTTTTCCTTTTGATTCTGTAAAGAACTAAGTTTCACTTTGCAGAGTGTTTTTAGTATTTTGCCTTGACTTAGCCATCAGGAAGATAAATGATGACCCCATAAATGCATCCATACATTTAATGAACTTGTGGAATTGGCGACGTTTTGGTCCTTTGGAATTGTTGAAATTCACAGCTTTGATGATTTGCATGACATCATCCAATTTTGAAGCTTTTACACGTATATTTTCTTGATGTCTGATGCAGTGAGATACAGATGGTAACTGAATCATCTTCTATTAGTTTTATAAGTCCATCTTTTTTTACCAGCCATCACTGGGTCATCCTCAGTAGCTCTATTAGATATGTTGACAAAAGTTAAAAAAGATTGCTTTCACGTGTTCTTTTACTGATTCAAATAAGTCAGGTTTAGCTGTGTCTTTCAGGGATGCCAAAGAAGCTATTTCTTCAGTGACATATTTGTTATCAATACTCTAGTGAAAATGGCAAGTAGAGCTGTATCTGTAGTATTAATATTTTCATCACCAAAGCGTAAAATTTGAGATCAACAGCTTTACTGTCCAGACTTCTCTTTGTGTACTTTCTTATTCTTTTTCTATTCACCTAACTGCAGTCTGGTGAGACAAATTGGAGAGGTATAAAAAAAAAAAAAAAAAAGCTTTTTTTTTCTTTTTTAATTAATCAGGACATACAGTATCTGTTGTGCTTTTCATATATTGCTTAACAAACTCACCATCAGGAAGTGGTTTTGATTTTTTTTGCAGTAAGATGTGCTATCATGTAAGTAGCTTTTATAACAGAGTCATAGAATCGTGAAGGTTGGAAAAGACTCTAAGATCATCTAATGCAGCAGCCCACCTACCATTAATATTGCCCACTTAACCAGATTCTTCATTACCATTTGAGTTTTAACTTTTTTTTTTAAGTATTTTGTTGAGGTGACAGACTTTTTTAGTTCTGCTGTTTTGTCTTTGCATAGCGTTCCTTGATATGCATCAAATTTGGCAGTATGTTTCTGCATAGAATGTCTCCTCAAATTGTAGTCTTTGAAAAGTGACGTGGTTTGTTTGCAAATCAAGCATAGTGCCGTGTTATCTATCAGCACTGCACTGTGAGCTGAGTTGGGTCACGTGCATCCTGTGGGTTGGACGTGCCTGGTGTAGTCATTCATGTTCCAGAACTGGACACTTCTTACTGTTGCATTGTCTCCAAAACAGGTAGATCGTCACTTGAGAAAACTGGATCAGGAACTTGCGAAATTTAAAATGGAACTTGAAGCAGACAATGCTGGAATCACAGAAATATTAGAGAGACGTAAGTATGCGTGATTTTCTTAAAATACTTGGCAGATTTTCTGTCACTTTACAAAAGTAAGACACGATAAAGTTGTTGGACTACTGTGTTTCCACTCATTTTGCAATTTTGCTTCGATCTACATGCCTTTTATCAGTCAGTGATTCTTGAATTTTAGTTCAAACTTGATTTTTACCAGTGGAATCAAAAGGCACCTGAGAAGTTAGAATAATTTCTCTTTTTAATAGGGCTGTTGTACATATGAATAGTTAAACTAATGTACAGAATTCTTCAAAACTGTTACTAATACTGTAGGCATTCAGGAAAGTGTTGTAATCTATGCTTAACCTACTAGACCAGTTGACTGCTATCAAATAGAGGAGAGTGGATATTTCAATTACAGGCATGGAATGTCAAGTAAAGATACCTACTTTGTAGATCTCTTTTTAAAGAGAAGAGAATGGATGATTTTATCAAAAGGTGGTGAGAGAGGAGCATTTCAAGGAAGAAACCTGCAAGCTTAACAAATACTGCAGCACTGCACAGCTAGTATTCAGAATGTAAATGGGATGTAATGTGATGGTTTTAAAGCAAACTTAATGTGGAAAAAATCCAGCCCTCTATACCTGTTAGTATTTAGGTGTCAAGTTCAAATGTGATTATGATGAATTTCAAAATTGCTACAGCATGTGTTATTATGAAGCTAATAGTCAGTGACTGTTCTTCATGACCAAGGCTAGTGAAAAGTAACCCAAGTCACCTGAAGAAATAAGGGGTAAATAGTTTTCCTTTGAACTTTGTCATAAAAGCTAATTTTCCTCAAAGTTTTGTTTCTAATTGCTTGTTTGATTGTTTGTTTTTAAATAAGAGGCACAAAAAGAAAACTGCTGAGTAGGTGTTATTAATGAACTACTGCAAAAGAGGGCAACTAGTTTATTTTTGAGTCCAGCCTGCAGTTTTAAGATCTGATGCTAACTTTATTTGGGCCATTTGTTTGGCAAGGTAGGTGGAATTTTGAAAACTGAAAACACAAATGAACCAGGCTGTGTTTAAGATATTTATTACTTAATAACATGTAAGGTAGAATGAAAAGCTTCTTAACATTTTTAGCTATCGGAGTAAAAACATGTTTTTGAGGTTCCTCCAGAGGGCAGCCTTTGGACTAAATCACAGCATGATTAAAGTTAGTTCAGCCTTTCCTTTCCTCCCTCCTTTTTGGATTTCCACTCTGGGTATTTTCAACATCTGTGATTTTGAATACAGATGTATGACAGAATGTTGGGTCAACTTGAAACGTATTTCTGATCTTGGTATGTTTTGAATCAGTATGATGAGATGGGAGATGGCATCATTAGTATAGTTTACCTTTTAACTGCATTTTAACATTTATGTTCATAAATGCATCTACAGTCTTCAGTTCAAATAAGCACATATTGTCAGTACTTCTAGTGCAGCTTTACTGCCTGTATGCAACTTATTGGAAGTGGCATATTGCAAGTAGTGTTGTTTTTGGTTCTCAATATTGACCTTGATTTTAACTTTTCTTTGAAAGTTGCATAGCAGTAGTCAGCGATTTCTATTTTAAAACTTTCCTGTTAAAAGTGTTAACAAGAGTAAAGTCCTGTTTAACCTTGTGTGACAAAGCTGGGGTGCAGCAGGCACTGCCAGCTGGGCAGGGGAAGAGATTGTCCCCCTTACTCAGCGCTGTGTGGCCTCAGAGAATCACAGAATGGCCAGGGTTGGAAGGGACCTCAAGGATCATGGATCTCCAACCCCCTGCCACATGCAGGGCCACCAACCTCCCCATTTAATACTAGACCAGGCTGCCCAGGAACCCATCCAACCTGGCCTTGAACACCTCCAGGGACGGGGCATCCACAACCTCTCTGGGCAGCCTGTTCCAGCACCTCACCACTCGCTCTGTAAAGAATTTTCCCCTGACATCCAAGCTAAATCTTCCCTCCCTCAACTTCAAACCATTTTCCCTTGTCCTGCAGTTATCTACCCTTTCAAAGAGTTGATTCCCCTGCTGTTTGTAGGCTCCCTTCAGGTATTGAAAGGCTGCAGTGAGGTCACCCGCAGCCTTCTTTTCTCCAGGCTGAACAAGCCCAGCTCCCTCAGCCTGTCCTCATAGGGGAGGTGCTCCAGTCCCCTTATCATCCCAGTAGCTCTCATCAGGACCCTCTCCAACAGCTCCCTTTCTTTCTTGTACTGGCAGCTCCAGTCCAGGACACAGTACTCCAGATGGGGCCTCACAAGAGCAGAGTAGAGGGGGACAATCACCTCCCTGTCGCTGCTGGCCACCCCTATTCTGATGGGGCCCAGGATACCATTTGCTTTCTGAGCTGCAAGAGCACACTGCTGGCTCGTGTCAAGCTTTTCATCTATCAGGACCCCCAGGTCCTTCTGTGCAGGGCTGCTCTCAAGGATTGCTCTTTCCAGTCTGTGTGGATGCCTGGGATTCCTCTGGCCCAAGTGCAGAACTCTGCACTTTGCTGTGCTGTACCTCATCAGGTTCCCCCGGTCCCACTTTTCAAGCCTGTTGAGGTCCCTCTGAATGGCATCCCTTCCTTCCACCGTGTTAACTGCACCACTCAGCTTGGTGTCACCTCACCTCGAGCACTGTGTGTACGTTTGGTAACATGGTATAAGAAGAAGATAAAGCTGTTAGCATCCAGGAGTGGGCTATGAAGATGGGAAAGGCGTCTGAGGAGCAGCAGGGATCGCTTGGTTTGTTCAGCCCAGCAAACAGAAGGCTGAGAGGAGGCCTCCTGGCAGCCTCCCTCTCTCATGACAGTGACAGGACTGGAGCTGTGTCAGGGAAGGGTCGGATGGGTGTTAGGCAAAGGTTTTTCACCAGAGGGTGGTCATGCACTGGAACAGGCTGCCCAAGGCAGTGGTCTTGGCTACAGGCTGCTGGAATTCAAGAAACATTTGAACAATATTTTCAGATATATGGTCTGAATTTTGTGCGGTCTTGAGAGAAGAAAGGGATTCAATTCAGTAAACCTTGGAGTTCCCTTCCAGCGTGGGATAGACAGTGATTCAACTTAGTTGTTCCTGGGAACTTATTTTGGGAAAGATTCTAACTCTAAAATCCTTCCAATTAATATAAGTGTAATTGCATAGCGTTTTGGCTAATATTGTAAAAACTCAGTGTCAGAAAAATTAAAGGCATTACATTGTCGACTTTAAAATTTTCTGTTTTTTTTTATCTCCCATTTTTAGGATCCCTGGAGCTGGATACACCATCTCAGCCTGTGAATAACCATCACGCCCATTCACACACTCCAGTAGAGAGTGAGTATTTGATAGATAAAAGCATATTCACTTTTAAGATACATTTGTCGTCAAGTACATTTATTATATTTTCTTCCAAATGCTGGAAAAATTGGATAATTAAATGGTGATCATGCCTATTCAGAAAAACTGCAAGTATGAAATAAAAAGGTTTTGCTGGTGGCAGTTAGTTGAAAGTGCTATTTCAGTATCTGTAGTTGTTAACAGTTTTACTTTTAAAGTGAAAAGGCTTTTCCATTTAAGTTCACTTCATTTGTTTTTCTCAGAAAGGAAACACAATCCATCGTCTCACCATGGTGCAACAGATCATGTTCCCGAGAAGAAGTTTAAATCTGAAGCTCTTCTATCTACCCTTACTTCAGATGCCTCTAAAGAAAATACACCAGGTAGTCTTAATTGTTTTACATTTTATTACTTTTAATAGAGGGAAGAAAAATCCAATTGTATGTGTGGATTTTTTTTATTTTTTTTTTTTTTTTTTTTTTTAATATGTATCAGAGATCCATACACTTTGCTCTGGGATTTTTGGTCATTTTAAAAATGAGAAATTGCAGACATTGTTACTCACCTGTGTTGTGCATGAAGCTCATTGGCTTTGTTGTCATTTGACAGCTGTGTGTTGGCTGTTTATTTTCACGGTTCGAAGAGGGTAGGAGTATGGTTTTCATTCATCCACTGGTAGAAATACAAGAGATCCATGCATTATTTTGAGGAAAAGAAGCCCATGCAGTAATTTCCAAAGTAGGAAAAGAATATTCATTCATCTTATAAGGGTTGCTCTGACCTAGCATTCAGCTATGATCAAATGCTTCTGAGTCTTGTGTGAAATGAGGCCAGATAAGAAGGCCCTTTGATTAGTGAATAAAAACACAGCACAGCTTCCTGTCAGTTTTCAAAATAAGGATAATTTGTAGATTCTGCTCAGAAAATGAAAGATTATGAGAAGGTATTAGTAAGTAAAGTACTTTGGCAATTTAATGCTGGTCACTAATTTTAACTAGGCTTTTTCATAGTCATTTATCTATAAGGAACTTCGCATGAGTTGGCAAACTAAACAGAACTACTTTTGAACAGCTGTCAGGAAATCTGGTGCATTCAAATTGTGATTTTTAGCTTTTAGTGTAAGACTGTTTTAAATGTTATCTTAGGGAAAATTTAGTTGTACAGTCAAATTCTTAATTTCTTCTCAATTGTCACAGTAGTCAATATAATTTCAACTGAGGTTGGGCTTATATAGACATAACAGCTGTGTTATGTCTATATATAGCTGAGTGTGATAGTGAGGACTGCCTTTCTGAAAGGATTCCTTGCACGTGAGGGTAGATGCTTAAGTAGAAAACTAGCAGTGTCAAAAAATTTTCTTAGAACTTTTTTCCAAATGATCAGACTACTCTGCATAAATGGAGTTCCTAGTCTTTCACTGGTTGTCATATATAACTCTTCTTAAAATGCAAAGGAATTTAGTTTCATTTTGAATTTCATGAATGTGTTCTGTTCATCAAGGGTGTCGAAACAATAATTCATCATCCTCTTCAAACAATGCATACAATACAAACTCTTCTCAACCATTGGCATCATATAACCTCGGCTCATTATCTTCAGGATCTGGGGCCGGTGCTATTACCATGGCAGCAGCTCAAGCAGTGCAAGCCACAGCACAGGTAACGTCAAAACATTCTCACATTCTCGTCAGCCTGCCACCAGCTGTTGATTAAGAAGGAATACTAGTAGTTTTTTTTGATCACTTTCAGCTGGTGTGGTGTTGTTCTCATCATTATTGTGTACATGCTACAGTTTCATCCTTTGAAACTTCCATAAAAGGACGACTCATTTTGTACCTTTTCTTGTGGGATATTCTTACTCATTCTTATCACTTACTATGCATCACTTTATTAAAAGAATAACTGATGAATCCGTGGCAATAATAGCAGCCCAGTATGTCTTAAGTAAGAACTCTGCTTTATAATCTGATACAATATCAGTATTCTTTTTTAGATGAAGGAAGGAAGAAGAACATCCAGTTTAAAAGCCAGCTACGAAGCATTTAAGAACAATGATTTTCAACTTGGAAGAGAGTTTTCATTATCTAGAGATTCAACTGGGTATTCATCATCAGCTCTGGCATCTACATTAACACAAACATTAAGTTCGTCAAGCACAGATTCACGAAGTGGCAGAAAAAGCAAGTAGGTTTTTTTTGCTGACTGCAGTTGACAACTAAACTTTCACTTAAAGGTCATAGGCCATATTAGAAATACTTTGCATTTAATATGTTGGGAATATAAAACATGAGTGGAAAGTTATTATTCCATACTGGCATTTTTTGTACAGGACTTTCTTCTTTTCTCCACTGCTTTCTTTTTCCTTATACAAATTCAATCCAAGGTTTTAAAGAAATACTTGGATTAATTTTTTTGTCTGTTATATTGTCTAGTTTCTTTCCTCACTTTTTCTCTATACAGGAGAGAAGACTTGGTCTAAATGTAAATGTTGGAAATTCTGTGCAGTGCTTTGTAGATGGTTTTGAAGTAGATCTGGAGATTTGCTTCATGCCACTTTATAAATAAGCAGAACATATTGTGATGTCTGACCACCTAGGACAGGAAGCAGAATGAAATTTACTTCTGATAAAAAGTGGTTTTCATCAGAAGTAAATTTGAGGACTCAAAAGTTTTGTTTGAAAGATCTTGTCCCAGATTGCTTGTATTTTAAACTGACTTGCTCTTTTTTCTTTCTTTATACATATTTGTTTTCATTCACAGCTCACTTAAAAAGTTTGTTTTAGAATCATTTCTCATCTACATGTGTCTTGGGTGTCAGATCTGACCTATAAGCAAAAATACAAAATTTGCATATTGACATTGTTCCAGGGCAGTGACAGCTGATGCTTCAGTGGAGATTAGCATAGAATCAGTCATCTTAACAGTAATCTACTGTACGTGACAACGTAACATTATTACATGCAAATGCCTGTTATACCATTTACATATTCTTAATGGCGGCTTGACACTAAGGGAAAAAAAAAAAACATGATGTAAAACATTCAGTAAAGCCATTTGACAATTTAGAGTTGTTCAATTTCATAGATTAGAATAGCCTGACTATAAACTGTTCAGACTGATTTCCAGAGAGTTTTGCTATCGGAGTTCTTGAATGAAATGTGTTATGGAATACACATTTCAGGATTTACATACTGTAGTATTTCAGTCAACAAAGAAGTGCTTCTACTTGCCAGTAAATGAACTTAAATTATGATATGTTTGTTTTTTCTTTCTTTCTTTCAGAAACAACAACAAATCCTCAAGTCAGCAGTCGTCATCATCTTCCTCTTCATCCTCTCTGTCGTCATGTTCTTCCTCATCTGCACTGGCACAAGAATTGTCCCAGCAAACAGCAGTAATACCAGAGTCTGATTCCAATAGCCAGGTTGACTGGACCTATGATCCAAATGAGCCACGTTACTGCATCTGTAATCAGGTAAAAACATTGTTCAACCTGAAATACAACCAGATACGCTGTTTCACTGCAGGTGACCTTCTTGCTCTGATTGCTCATTTAAAAACAGATCAGAATCTCAACACTGCAAATAGGATGTTTTTATTTCTTTAGTGGTAATATGAAAGGACTCTGGAAAATGGTTTTAAATTGAAGGAGGGAAGATTTAGGTTGGATGTCAGGGGAATTTATTTACAAAGAGAGTGGTGAGGTGCTGGAACAGGCTGCCCAGAGAGGTTGTGGATGCCCCATCCCTGGAGGTGTCCAAGGCCAGATTGGATGGGTTCCTGGGCAGCCTGGTCTAGTATTAAATGGGGAGGTTGGTGGCCCTGCCTGTGGCAGGGAGTTGGAGCTTCATGATCCTTGAGGTCCCTTCCAACCCTGGCCATTCTGTGATTTTATGAATAATGAAGTCAAAGGCCCAAGCAACAAACAAACCAATTTTCCTGCGATGTGCCACATCTGGAGAGTTCTAAGTCTCTTACTGAAGAATTTAGGCATAATTAAATTCAGAGTTGAATACGATCACAGTGAATTTTCTTAGAATTTCAAGCTAGAGTAATACTTTTTCTCTCATACTTTCCTCCTTTTGCAAAATAAATTAATAATGGAGAAGATACTATCTTTGTAAAAGCCACTCAGAAAATTGAAAGACTGAATGAGAGCACGAGTTTTTAAAAATGCCTGCTCTGATTTTATAGTTTTAAATGCTAAATTTATTTTTTTTTTTTTAGAGTTTACAGAATCCTTTGGTTCTTTTGAAAGTATGTGATTGTTTCTTTGGAATAGTTCTTGAAGTTGTCATGTGTGCGAGGGAAATGCTAGACATAAATACATTTGAAAAGTGGGCTGATGGTGTCCAAACCTCAGTGCTGAGGACCAAAATGTACTTAGTTTGAGTTTTGAATGCTGGATTTTTTTATCCAACCTGGAACATACATGTGAACACGATTATGGAACAACAAAAATATGTATTGTTGCCACTGCTGATGGAAGAACTTCTTTAATGTAAAAGAAAAAAGAAACAAAAACCTTGAATTCCACCCCTCTGAAAATTTTGTTTTTATTAATAAAGTTGGCTTTTTTTCCTTCTTTTTCAATAGGTGTCCTATGGTGAGATGGTTGGCTGTGATAACCAAGATGTAAGTAATAAAGTTCAGAATGCTCATAAGAGAAGCCTCGTGCATGTAACTATTGCTTACAGGAGTTACTTTTCTGTAGTGCTTGTTATATTTTCAGTTTTAGTGAAAATAGGGACAAGTGCAGCTCTTTGTTGTTTACATATACACAGCAAAAAAAGTAATCATTTTTCCTTTTTCTATTCAAATCCCCTACCTCACTTCAGACTTAAACATAGGATGCGTGGGAACAAACAGAGATAAAAGAAAATGTTTTTAATACTAATCTTTCCAATCACATAGGAGTTCCATGTATTTCTCCTTGCTTAATCACAATAAGGTTACACAACACTGTGTGTAAGAAGAGTATTCAGAAACTGCAAACCTTGCTGTTAAGAACTTTTAGGTGTGTGTAGGGCTTCCATTCTAAACAGAACTGCCCCTTGCTAACTTGTTTGTGCTTGAAAGGCTTTTTTTTTTTGCTTAGGTAGAAATCCTAGACAAAAATTGAAATTGCATTAAACAAACTTGTATATTTCATCCCTGATCACTGTCTTAAACATCATAAATACATACTTACAGTTTTCTTTTTCTCTATGAGTAGCTGCAAATTTAAAAAGATACGTTCTGACCTGGAAAATTTAAGTATTGGAAATGTACCATTATTCTGAGATACACAGATTTCACTGCTACTGTCTTGAATTTTTTTGTTCTTACTTCATCTTTCGTGACTTGTGATGAGACTGAAGGAATCACGCAGAAAATCAATCAAAGAGTAAAGAAGAGAAAGCAAGAAGTTAGCAGTTGACGTTAGAAATAGTAGTAGTGCCAGGATCATAGAAGATTTCATGGAAAACTTCAAACAGAAGTAGAACTTAAATATTTGTGTGAGAAGTACGATGGGAATTAATGTGCACATGAGTTGAAGCGTTCTTCCAGAAACTTCTCCTCATCTGCCCCACAGTTCAGATTCTTTCAGAAGTCGTCTCTTTCCTGAGGAAGTTTGACATATTTGAAATACCCTTTATTTCTGGGAACGTTTAGCTATGTCAGTATTAATCCCAATTGTCTGATTCAAATGCTGCAAGTTTTAAAAGAGCAAGTGAATGTAATTATGTACTTACTGAGATTATCCTGCATTCAGTCCGAAGTGAGTGATGAAGATTACTGTTGTGTCACTTAAAATGTTGCCAAGCTAGGTTTATCATTAGCACAGTATACTTATTTTGTTTTCTATATAAATGAGTTAGTCTATGACTCGTAGAATTTTTGTTGCTTTCCTTATTCTGTTGGGTGTATGGGGTATGGATTTCTCCTCTTTCATTTTATCCCATTATTTGCTTGGTATGAAAGGCAGAACCTACACTTTCTACTTGCGCTTCTTTTCATAGAATTGTATGTAATCACAATTCAAGAAGAAAAGAAAAATCCCAAACCCTCTCTAAACTCTGTTTTTATAGTGTCCCATTGAATGGTTCCATTATGGATGTGTTGGACTGACAGAAGCACCAAAAGGGAAATGGTACTGTCCACAGTGTACAGCTGCAATGAAGAGGAGAGGCAGCAGACATAAATAAATATCTTCATCTGGAAAACAAATTGCTTACTAAAGGTTTTATGGGGGACTTACGTGGGGGGAGAAACCCCCACCACACTTCCTCGCAACCACTTAAAGAAGGGTTAACATAGCAGTCATAAGATCTTGAGCTATTGGTTGGTTTTGCTGGTCGTGTTTTAATATTGTATGTAAGCTGTTTATGCACATTGATGTGCTGCAGATACTATTCCAGCAAGCCTTGGATTGTTCCAGTGGCCAACATATGCAGATATTTGTACTGTCAAACCATTTTCTCTAAGCAGTGGGCATTCTACAATTATTCAGTCTTCAGAAAATTCTGATAAGTCAAGATTTTAAATGTATGTTTTATATTCAACAGATATATTCTGCTGCATGTACTGTATTCAAGAGCTGTTATGTAACACTATGTATATAAATGGTGCAAAAAGTCAGTGCTTCTTAAAAAAAAATGATTTTTAAAATGCCTTTATAGCTTTGGTTCTTTATGAAAATTAATTCAGCAGGCTGAAGAAAATGGTTCTTGTATACAGCGGGCTGTTGTCCTCTAGGGTACTTGAGTATGTAAAAACAAAAAAAAAGCTGTAGAATAAAACAAACTTGTGCCATTAGTCTATGTTTCTGCTCCAGACAAGGTGCAGACCATAAGAAAGAAAAAGGTGTTAAAGTGATGATAAATTTTTATACCAAATGTGTTTATTTTTTTGTGCAAGTAATCCTTTAAATTTGAATTGTATTAGGTGTTAAAATAAAACAACCTCAACTCCTTGATTTGATGTTTTCTGCACATCTGTCAAAATAGTTTCTGAAGAACATAGCTGAGTTTCCATGAGAAATTCCTGCCATATTCCTTCTTGAACAGGAGCTTTCATGTAAAAGTTAACACATGGATCAGAAAAGATGTAGAAGGATAAATAGTTCATCCAGCTGTGGAGGCCCTGGAGGTACCTAACAGGGACAGTCATGTTATGGAGCTTAAAGGGAAGCCACTACCTGTGCAGATCCTTTAAGACCTGCTAAGTCAGAGCTGCATTGCTGTAGCACAGGATCAGGAATCTTGATTTTTAGATGGCAGCCCCTTAAAAGGTACTTCTTTGGGCCATGAATATAATGGAAAACTTTTTTTTCCTCCAGCTTGTTTATTTTGGATGTAGTTTGTAGATTTCCTTTCACAGAAAGTTTTCTTGTGTTGTTTTCATATGGCTTTTTGGTATGGCAGCAGCACTGAACAGAAACAAGAGCATTACTCCTTTTTTTCCTCCTCCTTTCTACCACTAAGAAAAAAAAAAAAAAAAAAAAAAAGAAAAAATACACTTTCCATTTGGAGTAAAGATTTTATTGTAGCATTGGAATTCTCTTTGGGCTATGTGCTTTCCATGGACCTTCATAGTAGCTTTCCTTGAAACATTGCCAAATGCCGTCTTGCACCAAAACACTCCAATGTCAAGGAAATAAAGAGTTAGACTTACTCATATTAGGAGTATGTGCAGAAAGTGCAGGCTTAAACTAAAGTGAAACCAGACTTCTATTACAACATTTATGGATGCCCCATCCCAGAGGCATTCAAGACTGGGCTGGATGTGGCTCTGGGCAGCCTGGTCTGGTGGATGGTGAGCATGCACATAGCAGGGGGTTGAAATTCAATGATCATTGTGATCCTTTTCAACCCAGGCCGTTCTATGATTTATTCTAAGAAAAAGAAATTGGTTATTTTAAGTCCTTATACTGAGGAAAAATAGATGAAAAGAACACATGACTGTAGTAAAAGAATAGGATATGAGTTGATTTAAAAAAAAAAAAAGGGCAGTGTAATTAAGATTCCATTAAAAGTGGGGAATTCGCCCACTGTATGTGTGCTTCTGTAGACATCTCAGCTAAAAAAAAAAATAATAATACGTAAGGACTTGTATATCTGGTTTTGAGGGAGGCTATTGAGACCACAGAGATAAGAGAAACTATTTGTTCTGTTAGAAACTGGTGCTAATCTGTGAATGGAAGTTAAAGAGGCAGTAGGTAATCTGGACTCCCCTTGGACTGAAGGGCTCAGTCTCTTGAGCTAAGGACTAAATGTAATAAGAACCTGAGTATTCTGTAACAAATTCCTTCACTGGTGGTGACAATACTTAAGATGGTGCAGAGACTGCAAATCTAAATAAATGAGTCAGTTTTTAGCAAAACAGTTTACTGAAAAAAACCTTCATCCTCATTAGTATCTAAGAAAATAGGGAAGGACAAAAGTGCAAAACAATGCAACGTACGAGGTAAACATGCACAACAGTCAAAATTGTAGCATTTGAACACCTCAGTACAATAGAAAATGCACGACCATAAAGGTGTGATGATGGAAGGACTAGCACAACACAGAGGTGCAATACAGGAAGGGAAGGGGATTGCTCACCTGTATATGAAGATTCCAAAAGAAAACAGAATTTGCAGAGGAAAGGTCTACCAAGGAGGAATCTCCATGTAGAAATCCTCCCCTGCTACAAGTCAGGTCTTGGAGAAGTGCAGCCAGGCTCCACCCCTTCTGCTCTCACAGGTGAACTGCCTTCACCTGTGCCCCCAGGGCTGACCCAGTCCCTTCCCCAGGTGCTCAATCAGTCGTTCAGGCTGTGACTCAACAGTTCCCATACACCTGTACATACATATGCTTTTTGTTTTCTTCTATGCAGGAAGCCTGTCAGAAGCTAATGGGTCAGTGGGTGGTTAAAGTACAAAAAGAACTGAATTTTTACACGATTGCGATAGGCAAGCTAAATTATTTCTTCACCGTGTGAGAGGTTAGGCAGATTTGAATACTGGGGTCTTTGCTGCAGGATGCTTGAAGGTTGCTCTAAAAATAAGGGACCTGTAGAAGTGAGTCTGCAACATACTGCAAATATTCATGGGAGTCCCAGAAAGACTCATGTAGGGAGTATCTGAGCTGCTTTTAGAGCATTTGAAAAATACCAAAAGGGCTGACAAGTGATAAATATTAAGCTTCAGGTTGGATTTACAAACCTAGTTCTCAGTTCCTTGTGCATTGGTAGAGATTAGAATTAGTACATGAGTGAGTAAATACATACTGGGAGAGTCGTTGCCTCATGTTCATTAGAGCTGTGGGAAAGCTTCTCTTAGTAGAAGGCGGCCAGCTTAATGCAGTTTCCATTAAGGCAGTTAGACAGGGTGTTTCATTAATGCAGTAAGTGAGGGGAGGAGGCCTCTTCACATTACGAAATGTGCAAAATAGAATAAAGAGTAAAGAAGTTACCAATATTGCCAGTAAGGGGAGGCTGCTAAGGGAGTCCTGTGGGTCTCTACTACTCATTGGTTATGTAAAAGATAGTTAAAGAAGGGTCAGTAGTGACAAAATGTTTGCACTTGTGTTGAGTTCTTAAAGCAATGAAAATGAAGTGTTGAAGTTGCGAAACAATCTCATGATACTGTATCTCATCAAACAGGAGATGCAATTTAATGTTTGTTAATTTAATGTGAAATAAGATAAAAATAACAATTCTCTGTTTACCTACATCTACATCCTCTGAATTAGCTATTGCCGAGTAGGGAAATAAATGATTTTGGAATTACCTATTGAATTCTGTGGGAACATTGTTTCTCTGCTCAGCAGCAGGTCAGACAGGTGCTAAGGATGACTTAGTAGGAAATAAAGAATGAAACAGAGGAGAGTTCTACGCTGTGTAAATTGATGGCACCGTTAGGTTTTACCGTAGTGTAAAATTCTGATCCACCCTTCCAGAAAAATGTAGTAAAATGGGGAAAGTCTCACATAGGAGGATGAAAGTACATTTGAGAAACAGCTGAGTTAGTTGGGGCTTCTGTCTGGAAAAGAGGCAGCTTAGTAAAGATAAAACGTGTCTGTAAGTTCATGAGTTCTGTGGAAAAGGCTTGTCTTTTGATAGGAGTAACAAGCAGGTAGTCCAGGATGAAGAAAAAGAGCAGCTTTTTTGCATCTACTGTGTGCTTACATTGCAAAACTTGCCATATAGCTTACATGAATGTAAAATGTGACTTAAAAACAAACTGGAGCGAGATCAGCAAGGGCATAAAATGCAGAAGTTATACATCTGGAACAAAAACTCACTAAAGACTGATCGCTAGAAATTACATATAGCAGGGGGAATTGTTCCTGTATGGCTGTGATAGTCCTACTGGCCGGAAGAGACAGGTCAAAGCGAGTGTACCTCCTTTGGTAAATGTAAAAGGAGAACTTGCTTCAGCGGATGAAGAGAAGGCTGAGGTACTGAATGAGTTCTTTGCCTCGGTCCTCACTGGTAGCCAGGATTCCAGTACTTCTCACGTCCCTGAGCCCTGAAGCCCTAAACTTCTAGATGGGGACCAGTGTGGTCAGTGGCGGGGGGCCCCGCCCCCATAAGGGCAGAGCAGGTCCAAGACCACCTCATGAGACTGAATGTGTACAAGTCTATGGGGCTGGATAGGGTGCATCCCAGAGTTCTGAAGGAGCTGGCTGAGGTGCTTGCCAAGTCGCTCTCCATCATATTTGAAAAGTCGTGGCTGTCAGATGAGGTCCTGGATGACTGGAGGAAGGGTCACGTCACTCCCACTTATAAGAAAGGGAGCAAGGAGGACCCCGGGAACTACAGGCCAGTGAGTCTCACCTCTGTGCCTGGGAAGATCATGGAACAGATCGCCCCCACCACATCCTTATCTCCATATTGGAGGATTGTGGATTTGATCGGTGGACCACACGATGGATAAGAAATTGGTTGAAAGGCCACAGACAGAGGGTGGTCATCAATGGCTCTATGTCCAGGTGGAGGCCGGTAATGAGTGGCGTCCCTCAGGGGTCTGTCTTGGGACCAATGCTCTTTAACATCTTTATCAAGTGCACCCTCAACAAGTTTGCTGATGACACCAAGCTGAGTGGTGCAGTTGACATGGTGGAAGGAAGGGATGCCATTCAGAGGGACCTCAACAGGCTTGAAAGGTGGGACCGGGGGAACCTGATGAGGTACAGCACAGCAAAGTGCAGAGTTCTGCACTTGGGCCAGAGGAATCCCAGGCATCCACACAGACTGGAAAGAGCAATCCTTGAGAGCAGCCCTGCACAGAAGGACCTGGGGGTCCTGATAGATGAAAAGCTTGACATGAGCCAGCAGTGTGCTCTTGCAGCTCAGAAAGCAAATGGTATCCTGGGCTCTATCAGAAGAGGGGTGGCCAGCAGCGACAGGGAGGTGATTGTCCCCCTCTACTCTGCTCTTGTGAGGCCCCATCTGGAGTACTGTGTCCTGGACTGGAGCTGCCAGTACAAGAAAGAAAGGGAGCTGTTGGAGAGGGTCCTGATGAGAGCCACTAGGATGATCAGGGGATTGGAGCACCTCCCCTATGAGGACAGGCTGAGGGAGCTGGGCTTGTTCAGCCTGGAGAAAAGAAGGCTGCAGGGTGACCTCACTGCAGCCTTTCAATACCTGAAGGAAGCCTACAAACAGCAAGGGAATCAACTCTTTGAAAGGGTAGATAACTGCAGGACAAGGGGAAATGGTTTGAAGTTGAGGGAGGGAAGATTTAGGTTGGATGTCAGGGGGAAGTTCTTTACAGAGCGAGTGGTGAGGTGCTGGAACAGGCTGCCCAGAGAGGTTGTGGATGCCTCATCCCTGGAGGTGTTCAAGGCCAGGTTGGATGGGTTCCTGGGCAGCCTGGTCTAGTATTAAATGGGGAGGTTGGTGGCCCTGCATGTGTTAGGGGGCTTGGAGCTTCATGATCCTTGAGGTCCCTTCCAACCCAGGCCATTCTGTGATTCTGATTCTGTGATA